ATCCATTCAAATTAACAGTGAAGAATAAAAACAAACCTGCGAAATAACGTAGAGGTTAGAGACAAGAGCGGACTGGAGAATGATCGGGATGTTGGAGGTGTAAAAGAGCTTGATAGGGTAGCTGCTGTACTGTCCACGATACCGAGCGGACTTGATTGGGAGATCAACACGGAATCCCTTAAGTTGCACCATAAGCAAAATTACACAGAACTTAAATAATATCAAGTACCTGGAAGTAGATAACAACACCGAACACGACGAATGTAGCCATCAAATTCATCAGATTTGGCAGATTGTTACGGTAGAAAGCTTCGCGAAGAGCTCGAACCTGAAAGTTTCACCATGACAACTTTGTCCATATTCAGTTATCCAGTCAAATGACCAACCTTGTCTGTGCGAGTAGCCAGCAAATGGAACAGGGCGATGACAGCACCTTCGAATTCTGTTCCTCGACCTGTGTTCATCGTTGCAGGCGAAAACGCTTTCCAGACGATGGTCTCGCAAATGTTAGTAGCGATGAAAAGAGAGATTCCGGACCCGAGACCATAACCTTTCTGGAAAAAAAACTCAATGAGCAGAGATCAAGCAACACATCTATTTGCCAGGATCACTCATGCAAAAGCCGTCGCACACTTCAATAATCTGAGAGACAAATATCAATCTCAACCTTCTTTACTCCAAGTCATCAACTTCTCGTTTTTCGGATCCCTTCTGAATAAGCACCTCGGATGATCGAACTTACGAAGAATTCCCTCCTCCGACTTGGGACTCCCTGCTACACCTTACTCTTGCCGCGTTCCCAAAGTATCCTGCCGGAAAGGGGCGGGGGGGGGGGGGAGTTAGACACCTTTGGTGAACTATCAGAGACCAGGGCACCTCTTGCCACAGCGGAAAACTCTGCCATACACGACCGCACCCCCACCCCCTCAGAGTTTCCTCTTCTGGTACGTCTCACCCCCGTTCCTTCCCCACTCTACCTATCAATCCTAAATTTGTCGTCCTCAAAAAATTGCCGTCGAGCGCGGGACAAAGGGGTCACGGTATATATAGAGCACATGAAACGGGGAAACTGGGAGAAGTCGACAACTGAATACATTTTTCCCAGAGGTAAATACGACCTTCTCCCTCCAGCGACCCTTGGAAAAACCCCTGCCCTCCTTCGCCCATAGATCCCAACGTGCGACGCGCCCCGGAAAAGATACTGGTTTTCTTGAGTCACCACCTAAGGCATTTGTAGCGCTCATGAAACGGAAAAAACCCCGCAGTATGGAAATCTTTCCACACCAACCAAATACGACCCTACTCTGACAAGTTTCGTACGACGCTGATGTGTACTCGATCACTAACTAAAGCATTTGCTTTTCAGTACTTAGGTTGCACTCATACAGTCATATTAGGCGACTCGGGAGTAAAGGAGGATCGCCAACTAGACGTTCTAATAGAAGGTCCATTAAAAGTGTAGATGAAATTCGATGTATTCTGGCCGATAGATCTTCACAAGAATGGAGATTCTGCACATAAAGAGAACGCGCGCTAAAAAGCGAGGTCTACCAACTTTCTCCACTTGGCGTTCAGACTCGTTCAGTCTGAACGCTAAGGCAGCGTTCCAGACTTCGCGACAGTAGCGCCTCGGTCGCGAAGTCTGAACGCTGCCTGACTCTCCTTGAAGGTCGAGTCGCCAGGTCTCCTATTTTCCGAAACGCAAGTATGAAGTCGGCCTCAGGCCAAAAAGAATTCATTATGCCAAGGCAATTATTGTGCATCCGTATTTCAAATAGCGTTGATTTACCACGAACCTAACAGCTCTCGAGACCCTTACAGTTCTAAACCTCATCCCACTCAAACAACTCAAATAACTTGCCTGCAACAGCTCATCTAGAAGCAAAACG